AAAGTTTTCAATAAAGTGGCTGGAGCCGCTGTATGGGGACAATACTAAAACGGGAACCTATAAGAGTATAGACAATTCTATACTACAAGGATTGTTATCAATAGCTAGAATTTAATACCACACTCAGTGGGTACCGTTATATAGAAAACATTGACCAATATGGACAATGTTTTGACACCGGTTGTAGAACCCATTATGAAGTACCTTCAAATGTGAGCTAGAGGAATACGTGAACCCAGGTATTCAATGTTCTATCATCGGAGCTAAAACCCATTACAAACTACAAATACCTAAAATAAAACCATCAAAATACGAAAACGTGGAACTACATGTACAATCTTCTGCCACCGGATCTAGAACCCATTACGAACTACAAATATCATTTTCTAGACAAAAATGTGAGCAAAAACCTAGATATTCAATGTTCTGCCACCAGAGCTAGAACACATTATGAACTAAAATACCAATCCGCGGAAAAATGTGGTAAAAATATACCAAAAATCGGGAGGTACCATTATATAGGGGCTATACCAAAACGTGGACGGATATATCTCATTTTCAATACCAACTATACTATACACAAAACAAATTGTTGTGCCAAATTTTGAAACTCTACGTCAAAAAAATCGAGATTTCAACAGGCAGACAGACGGACATCGTTAAATCGACTTAGAATTTTATGCTGATTATGAATATAAATACTTTATAGGGTCTTCGACGAATATTTACCTTTTCAAGGTGGTGGGTACAAAAATATCGGTTCGGACTTAGATACAAATATACACCTAAAACCAAATAAAATACACGCCTTTGCTGGAACTTTTCTGTAAGATGGTTATCAACCCTCAAGGTTGCTTAGATACAAATCGATTGGAAAATGTAGTCAAGACATCAGGAGGTACCATCATAAGGGCGCTACTCAAAAACAAAAAAAAAAAAAAAACACGTGGACAGATATGACCCATATTTTACAAATGATTCTATATGTAACCATGTGAGTCAGTGAGTGAGGCCTGTAAAAAATTTGAAAACTCTGTCTTAAATGTTGCTAAGCATAGAACAAAATATTTAAGGCCCTTTGTTAAGGCTATATAAAAAATGGACCCTAAAAAGGTTTCATCTGAGAATCCAGAACCCTTTGGGAATTTTGATCCACTAACAGTGCACTATCACATCCACCTAGGATTTCCCACCCCCCAGAACTTGGCATTTTCAGACAGTGTAATTACTAAAAATGTTGACCATGTATAAGACAGGTGCTGAAGATATGGGTTGGTATTGTACATTTCATATCTGACCTAAGCATCATATAGACATTGCGGCGTGGTAGATTCGGACCTTATCGACTACTTCATTACCTTTATGTGAGACATGTATATATTAGAAAGAATAATTTCAGCTTCTATAAGAATTATAATCGTTCAAAATGTTAACTCTATTTGGGGTGCCGATATTGGTCATCACCAAAATCAATCTAAGTTGGCAACAAAAATTAAAATGTACCATGTTTGGACCAATTTGTATATTTCCTTCGAAAATTGTCGTGTGCACCAACCTGAAAGACAGACGGAAGGATTTACGGACGGATTTCGCCCTTTGTGGCCACATGGTTTCGGGTTTAATAAATCACTAGATTTTTACTCGTATTTCCAAATTGGATCTAATAATGTTAACATGTTTTTATTGCATATTAAATTTAAGTTGGATTAAGGATAGATACGCCCTTGTAGATACGCTAATGTCCTAATCTACAAGGGCATTTAGTTTGTAACTATAAATGTGAGTCAATTTTTTTTTTTTTAAATATTTCTCGGACTTATATCAAACGGCTTAAAATGTATTCATTCAATGAATAAATTATACAAAACAAGTAAAAAAACATTAAGTTCGGCAGGGCCAAACTTTTAATACCCTCCACCTCAGGGTAAAGGAAGCATTAGAAGAAATATGTCAAAAATCATCAAAATACCGAATATTGGGAGGTACCGTTATGTGGGGGCTATACCAAAACGTGGACCTATACATGCAATGTTTTGCCACACTCACAGGGACTCGTTATGTCCTACAAATACCAATTTTCAGACAAATCCGTGAAAAAATGTGGCATAAATCATCAAAATACCGAATATCGGGAGGTACCGTTATATGGGGACTATACCAGAACGTGGACCGATATATCTCAATTTCAATACCAACCATCCTAGACACAATACAAATTGCTCTGCTAAATTTTGGCGCTCTACGTCAAATAATGTCGGCTGTATCGTGATTTCAACAGACAGACAGACGGACAGAAAAACAGACGGACATCGTTAAATCGACTTAGGATTTTATGCTGATTATGAATATATATACTTTATGGGGTCTACGACGAATATTTAAGGATGTTACAAACGGAATGACAAGGTGGAGGGTATAAAAATTATTTTTCACGACAAAATTGTCTATTGTTTTTATACCCTCCACCATAGTATGGAGAGTATATTAAGTTTGTCATTCCGTTTGTAACACCTCGAAATATACATTTTAGACCCCACAAAGTATATATATTCTTGATCAGCATAAAATTCTATGTCGATTTAACAATGTCCGTCGGTCAGTCCGTCTGTGGAAATCACTCTAGCTTCCGAACGAAATGAAGTAAGTTGATAAAAATTTAATCAAATGTGTATTATGTCTGCAGGACTTTTGGTATAGAAAATGGGCCATGTAGGTCCACGTCTTCGTATAGCCTCCATATAACGGTACCTCCCGATATTCGGTATTTTTATGATTTTCGCTATATTGTTTACCGGAACTATTTCAAATTTAGTATTTGAAATTCGTAATGAGTACTACAGCCTATGCCAGAACATTGTCTGTGCAGGCTTATGAGAAAAGTTGCGTATGCAGGTCCACGTCGTCTTATGGGCCCAAATATAAGATTACATTCGGTATTTTTAAGATTTTAACAACATTTTTATGGATTTTAATTTTTTGAAAATTGCCAAATGTGTTCCAATTGGTGGAGGGTATTCAAAGTTCGGCCCGGCCAAACTTACAGCTCTTTTCTTTGTTATATTTTGAAATGAAATGGTTTCAAAACTCCAAGTGCTCGCGAGCTTCACTGCTGGTATCGACCACTACAAAACAGTGTTCGTCAACGCACTGTTCCTTGGATACTTTGTGTGATTACTGAGATCATCTTTCTCTTTTGTTTTGCAAAATCCAAGATTTTTCAGATTTCGTTAATAAAATCATATTGATAGTTAGGAGGGTACATATTAACTTTGTCATTCAGTTTATAACATCCCTAAATATTATAACATCCCTAAATATTATATATTCATAATCAGCATAAAATTCTAAGTCGATTTAACAATGTCCGTCTATCCCTCTCTCCGTTGAAATCACGATATAGCCCACATTATTTAACGTAGAGCGCCAAAATTAGGCAGAACAATTTGCATTGTGTCTCGGATGGTTGGTATTAAAAATGAGATATATCCGCCATGTTTTGGTATAGTCCCCATATAACGGTACCTTCCGATATTCGGTATTTTGATGATTTTTGCCACATTTCTTCGCGGATTTGTCTGAAAATTGTTATTTTTGTGTCCTAATGGGTTCTAGCTCCGTTGCCGAAACATTGCATATATAAGGCCACGTTTTTGTATAGCCCCATATAGCGGTACCTCCCAATATTCAATATTTTGATGATTTTGCTACATTTTACCTCGAATGTGTCTAAAAATTAGTATTTGTGGGACACAATTTGTTCTAATGTGTTTCCTTTACCCTAAGGTGAAAGATATTAAAAGTTTGTCCCGGCCGAACTTAATGCTTTTTACTTGTTGTAACTAAGTTTTCGTTGTGCCCAAAGCATGGCTTAATCTGACAAAATATCTTCAATTCGAGGGCAGCGTTGAAATGGGGCTATCTGTATCGAAATCGGCAAGCACTTTGATTAGGAAACATTTTAACTCTCATTCTTATTTTTCAAACAGGATAACTCGCAAGCGCTTCTAACATAAAGGAATGTAATTCAATTTTCTTAAAAAACTCGTACTATTTGAGTGCTGCCACTCGTTAGTATTTTTCTCTCGATGCATTTATATCCAATCATAGATCATGTCGAAAGAAAAAGTACATAGGCAGATGCCTTCTACGACCTCCACACAAATGATAAATATTTGGAATATTCATAAATCTCATAAAATTAATTTGGTGTATCCGAATTAGGCCAAGGTTAAATTATACCCTGCCCGCCTCCGATAAGTGGAACACTCATATCGAAATAAGGAATGAATGAAATACTTTAATGCATAAAACAAACTAGTACTTTCTCACTGTTTTATTTTCCTGCAAATTCTTTGATTCACACATAAATTTAGAGATAATATGCTGATATTAAGACTACCAACAGGGTTATTCTAACTCAAAACTAGTGATAACACCCCGCTGGTATCTTTAATCACCAATAATCACGCGCAGCATTCAAGGTTTAAATTGTGAGTGTTGAATGCGCCAGCTTCCACAGTCTGGCTAGCAGACGTGTTTCCATCCATTCAAATGAACAACAAAATGACACGACCTTGAGCGACAGTTTCTTGTCAAATGAGTCAGTGAGCGAGTGTATGCGAAACACTCAAATAAAATGTACAAATAAACCTAGCAAACAAAGAGCGTGTTTACAAAGGCGTACAAATAAAACAGGCGAAACAAAGAATTGACATAGAGTCGTCCTTTGCATCCACACACACACACACACCTATTATGAGCATGACTTTGTGTGCATGGAAATCTAGAAGGTAGTGAGAAACCGCAAAACTAACACACACACACGATTCCTTCCAAAGGCATCTGCAGAATGTCAAAGGCTTGGGAAATAATAACAAGTATGCAGTATTACCGAACAGACAAAAACCTGACAGCTCTATTCATTTCAAATCTTACAATCTTGGAATAGAAAACAATTGTTAACAAAGAATTTACCACATTTAATTTTTGTTATCTTTTAGATGCAAAGGTATCCATGTTGACATATGTATATATGTACATACACACGTTGCATTAAATAGTGTCGAAATGTGCCGGGTCAGTAATGCAAATGTTGTAAAGTATAAAAAAGAAAATCTCTTATTTGTTTAATCATTTTAAAAAGAAATAAATTATTTTTCTTTGAAGGAAATTCTAAATTACGAAAGTGTCTACAAATCTGCAATGTCCATCAGACACAAATGGAATATCTCTATTGGAAGATAGGATAGAATGGGTTGTACAAATAAAGAATTTTTAAGGCTGCAGCAAATAAAGTACAAGCTACCATGAGGACAGCCCAAAACAAAGCAATATATTTAAGAAATTAGTGACCTGTTTCAATCAAAATACTTATGTTCCTTCCAATTCGAAAGAAATTCACTTTCGCTTTCTTCAAAATTTTTTTCTGTAATTTACTTGGATGGTTCTTTATACAAAAAGGGATTAAAAAACTTTTCGCCCAACGAATGCTGTGGTTGTTGGTTGGTGCTGTTGTCGCCTTGTGTGCTGCCTGTCTGAACGTTGTGGTGGTGGTTGGTTGGTGCTGTTGGCGTCGCACTAGTTGTACGTTGTTGTTATTGTGCAATAGGTGCGGTTATTTTTTCGTTCTAATATACGTGATGACGTTATATACTGTAAAAATACACTTTCAACTTAGTAGTATATGAAGAGTATGAGGAATATGTTCATGCTCCTAGAATGGCAAATATGGATTTGACAATTTTTTTCACAAGTTTTCTAGACCTAATTTCATTCAGCAGATTTCGGATATAAATAATTTCATTTGTCGCTGCAGATTACTATACTATGAAGGATATATTAAGTTTGCCATATACATTTTAGACCCCCAAAATTTAACATGTGTTCATAACAGAGATTAAAGTTTCCAAAACACTTAAGATTTTTCTGTTAATACCACGCTTTTTGTGCTAGGCAATGAAGTTTCCGAACTGCCCTCTTATCCGAACCGATTTTCACCAAATTTGAAGCACTTGTTTCTAGGATGAATTCAGTCGGAATGGCTGCTATTAGCCATTTGGTGCACAATAAACCTAATATCGGATAAACATATGTATGGGAGTAAAGATGATTCGATCTCTATAAAATTTGACAGAGATATGTTTGAGCTCAATAAGGTTTGTGGTAACAAATATCATTCCTGTGAAGTGCATAACACGCATGATGGACTTTAACACCAAATCGGATGAAACATATGTATGAAGACCTACAGCTATATCTGAATTCACCAAATTTGATTTACTTGCTTTTAGACTGAATTCGGTAATTTGGACTGATATTTATCATTAGGTGCCGAAATCGGTTAAAGATATATATGGGAGCTATTTCTAAATTTGAACCGATTTTCACCAATTTCAAGGTTCGTCACTGGGCCAAACAAATTTCATCTCAATCGGATAATTAATGCGATCGCATTTTTACACAAAAATACATGGACAGACAGCCGGACTGACATGCATAAATCAACTTAGAAAGTGATTCTATTGAGATCATCGAAGTTACTATGGGTCTATACGCTTCCTAAAAATGAGTTATGTTGGTTCACGTTTTGGTATAGCCCCTATATAATTGTACCGGCATTTTTAACCGATTTTTCTGTAAAATTGGTAGTTTGTGTTCTGAATATGTAGGACACGTCCTTGAAATTTAACTTAAACCCTTATAACAGTACCATCAAATATTTGGACTTTTGATGATTTTTCATACTTTTCTCCATAATGTTTTCAAATGTTTCCTATCACAGAAAGTACAGGTTCACGTCTTCGTATAGACCCCATATAACGGTACATTCCTATATTGTTTATTCTGAAGATTTTAGCGACATTGTTCAACGAAATAATTGGAGTTCACAATAGGCAATGCCTTCGCGCCAGATCCTCGTTTTCGTATTGCCTTCATATAATTTTACCACCCGATATTCCATATTTTAACAATGTTAGCTGAATATCTTGAAATTTTTCATGTGCCACCTAAATGGTGGAAGGTATTAAATGTTCTACCCGGCTGAAATTAGCTGTTTTTTTACTTGTTTTGTTTCACACATCGCCAGTTAAAAAAACTGACCACGATTTCCTATCTGCCGATCCAACTTTCCAATCCGTAAATCCATATAATCGTTTTTTACAACACTTTTTCTCCAGGGATTGGTTCATATTGGCATATCTGAGAACTTGATTATTATATTTTATTTACGATTTTTAAATATCTTGGACTTCAGGATCTAAAGAAGTACACTAATCTACCAAACTCAGTTTATTTTAACAGTTCTAAAATCACATTCTGCTTTGTGACGGTATCCCCAAATATCTGGAATTTTGATAATTTTGGACAAGAATAGTCGCACGCGAAGTTGATAATAGGTACCATATGCTTTTATACATTCATATTTTTTTGCTGGCTATTTGGAATTTTTGGAATGAAATTCAGTAAAATTTAATAAAGATTTAAATGCATCTAGAAGAAAATTGTCATGAAGGTCAGCATTTTCAAATAGTCAACATATAACGGTATCCTCCAATCTTCAGAATATTGATTAGAATTTTAATAAGAATTCACTGAGCTTTGGTAATTAAGATTTGTAATTGAAACCAGTAAAGAATGTCTTAAAGTGAGCGGGGCCGACTTTTTGATATCCTACACCAATCTGCATAATTAGTAGAGCTTCACATAACAATTAAAAGTATTAACGGGATAATTAAATCAAACAAGCTATGTGGTGAACGTTGTTCAATTCTGAACTATAACCATCCTAACGTCACAATGTTTGTTGGGAAAGGACTCTTCCCAGTTACAACTCTAATCTATTTTTAGAAACAAGTTAACAACTTATTCTAATTTAAATTAAGAATTCTTCCACAAAATTGGAAATCGTTTCCCCTGGCTTCCAAAATAGCCCAACGTAATTGCAAATAAGCAGCCGCGCTCGATACCTGGATGTAGCCTAGAGCGAGAGTGCCCGACTAGCAACCCAAACGTCCGAGTTCAAACCACGCAAACGGCATTTCATTTTTCTTCTGTATTATTTTGTGTTTTATTCAAGAAAATTATATTTTTATATTTTTCTAATGAAGTTCACATCGTCTGATGTTATTTTTTTTGAAATTACCAGAAAAAAAAACATAAAGTGTCCCAAATAAAAAAATTTCCCAAAATTAATGTGTTCGCCAACAAGAGTTGAACTGCATTCCTTTTGAGAACAATTGCTGAATTGATTAGCCAATCAGAAATAAGTTTCATTGGTTCTCAATTGTAGTTTCGTCCAAAACTCGCACAGCACAAGCGACAAACTAATGCATTGGAGTTTCATTAGTGATCGACAAACCAAATTCTTTCTTTTCCTTTTCAACTTGGCTGCAGAACACAACATAGTCTGTGAACAATTAAAACAAAAAGAAAAAAAGTAATTCTTTACTAAATTAAATTTTGAAATTATTTTTATAAATCCTAAACCCATTGAATGGTTTTGAATATTTGTTTTAATACTTTTCTTTAAAAAAAACACTACTTTAGGTAAGAATTTTTTCAATTGTAAATATAAATAGATAAGTGATGGTGCATATAATTTTTTTTTTTAGAATTTCAATCAATCCAGTACAAAAACATATACGAATCAAAATCCTCATTTGCGGGAATTATTACAATTACCCGTAAATTAGGTCATTGCTATTTATTTATTTGCGGCTCGAAACGAAAACTGAAATATTGAGATTAACCGAAAAAAAACACTTAATTTGGGTTATAACTAAAGTGCTCATAATCCGCTAACCCGCAGTGTAACCGCCACATCTTGGAAGACGGATTATCCACGTGTTTCTTTTTTTCCTTTGTGTCCCCTCATTCTGAACGCACCAATCAGCAACGAGACAGCTGTGTTGGGATTGATGCTTCGGCTCTATTCCCCACTTCCAGAAATCCAAAAGCCTAGACACCTAACGGAACGCCTAATATAGTACGAGAAGCAATTCAACTTCAAGAGTCGTGATAGCCTAGTGGGCAAACGGCTGGCGTAGGAATAGTAGCCAGATTCAGGGTCGCAAGTTCGATCCCTGCCACGGTCGTCCAAAAATAATATCCATAAAAATTTCATTTTTAAAAGACGTGAACACAAATGAGTGCACACAAAAATTATATTAACTCACCAGCAACTTCATATGCGCACACAAAAGCAAAGCACTTACTTTGCATACAACCCCACAAAACACCCTCTATATGATGATAAATCAATCCACAAGAACAGCCTTTGAATATTGATGTCGCCCAGAAAAAAAAGAACTAAACATAAAAATAATAGTATCGTAAGAAAGATTTGTAAAATAATTAAATTCTAAACCCTAAAAATATGCAAAATTATTATAACCATTGAATCTTTCCCCTCACTTTAGCCTAAAACCAAGAAAGATCCTTGATCCTTTCACACAGACACACACATACCTGAATGACATCCTTTACATCTCCAATACAACGATAATGATCCTGAGGCCTCGGCGACATCATCAGCAATATTGAGAAAAAAAAAACAAGGACAACCTAATAATATAATCCAGTAAGTTAAAACAAAAAAAAAAAAAAGAATCCTTGAATTTTGCATATTTTTTTGGCGTTTATTTCCATATATATTTGATTTTAAAACATTTATCTGTTGAAATCTTTAAACTGCATACTATATGTCCTGGTATGTTCGTCCGATAGAACGCCCTTTTCCGCATCATACCTAAATTTAATAATACTTTTAAGTCCGAATCGAATTGTTTAAGAATCCATACTTTTCGCAATGTTATGATTAATTTGTATACCTTACAATATCAACCACTATTCGTATATTTTTATGTGAATTATTTTTCCAAATATATATTTTTTTTAACAGAATGAATTTCTAATTTGAGAATTTTGCTTACGTGGTGACGTAATCATAAAGTAGGTATGGAAGTAGGGGTTTTAGTAACTATTCTGCCGCTAAAACCATGGTTGGGTAGGGCAATGAGGCTAGGATTCCCGAACACCTAGGAATCCACTATTTAATGATGATTTCAGTCTTTTCCATAGTTTTCTTCTAGTTAATCGCAGGGGTTTCTTTTTTTTCATGATAAAGCTCATATTTGATATTGATTTTTTTTCTTTCTTTTTTGTTTGTATATAATTCGGGAGTCTAGAATAAAATTTTTGTTTATGTGCGATGGAATGGGCACCAGCTCAAAGTAGATCCGAACCCCCCCACCCGACTGAAGCTAGGGTTTAAATGGCTCCCTTGTATCTATTTTGATCAGGTTAATTTAATTTGTTTCCCAATTCTACCTCCCCTTCCATGCTTGTTCAAACTATGTACCCTTTATCACTCATAAGGAAACGAAATACCTTAGCACTTCTTTTTGAACGGGATTTGAACACTACATAGATAAAATGGCGCCCAACGTGGGGCCAACTAACCCAAATATT